CCCCCGGCTCTGGCTCTGGCTCCACCCCCGGCTCTGGCTCTGGCTCTACCCCCGGCTCTGGCTCTGGCTCCACTCCCGGCTCCGGCTCTACTCCTGGCTCCGGCTCCGGCTCTACTCCTGGCTCCGGCTCCGGCTCTACTCCGGGCTCCGGCTCCGGCTCCACTCCGGGCTCTGGTTCTGGTTCCACCCCCGGCTCTGGCTCCACCCCCGGCTCCGGCTCCGCCCCTGGCTCCGGCTCCGCCCCGGGCTCCGGTTCGGTCCCTGATCATTGTGCCGAGCACTACCTCGATCTCTGTGTGGTCTGCGACTCCGGCTACGTCCTCCATGCTGAGGTGTCTCCGACGGATCTGACCACCGAGTGTGTGGCTTCCGCCACCGGGGCCTGCCCTGCTGGCACCACCAAGGGTATGTTGTTTGATATCCCCGGGAAGGCCGACCAGGCTGCCTGCATGTCTCTGGTCATGGGCGTCCAGCCGGACCCGCGCTGCGTTACTGGCGGCTACTCCATGGCCAGCGAGACCCCTCTCTGCTTCGAGTGTGTCCTCGGCTCGACCATCGCGGGCTCTGCCGTCAAGTGCAGCGAGCCCGTCTGCGAGGGGCTCCTCCCGGCTGACCCGGCCAATGCTGGCTCCTGTGCCGACTGCCGGTCGCTCCAGGCCTCGGGCTGCAGCACGGCCGAGATTGATGCCTCCGGCGCCTGTATCTGTGCCGAGTGCGATGCCTCCCTGATCACCGCTCTGCGCCCTGGTCATGCCGATGTCACTTGTGCCCAAACTTGCGACGAGAATGCCCTCATGGTGCCAGTCTTCATTCCCTCGCCGGGCTCCGGCTCTGGCTCCGCCCCTGGCTCCGGCTCCGCTCCGGGCTCCGGCTCTACTCCGGGCTCCGGCTCTGCTCCGGGCTCCGGCTCTGCTCCGGGCTCCGGTTCTGGTTCCACCCCGGCCTCCGGCTCCGACTCCACTCCGGGCTCTGGCTCCACTCCGGGCTCTGGCTCTGGCTCCACTCCGGGCTCTGGCTCTGGCTCCACTCCGGGCTCTGGCTCTGGCTCCACTCCGGGCTCTGGCTCCGGCTCCACTCCGGGCTCCGGCTCCGGTTCTACCCCTGGTTCCGATTCCGGTTCCACTCCGGGCTCCG